ATTGACCAAAATGGTTGTGCGGCCCGCGCTCGTCATTCTCTCAGTTATCTGGCCCGCTGTGAAAAAAGTTTTGGTGACCCCTGGTTTAGAGGATGGGACAGCCAAGATGGACCAGTAGGTCCCATGTTGTTACAAAATATTGCCATATTGATTTACTTAGCATTTGTTGAGTTTCTCCAGCATTCACACATATACGGGGAATTTCTGACATTTGTTGTTTCTGTAACGTTCACACATCATTGGTTTTGATTAAATTTAGGTACATTCAATATAAACTACTACAAAGAATTAAAGAGGCAAGATTTCATAGCTAAACTGTTATCCAACAAAATAAGTAACATCACTGAAATTATAGTATATTTTAGGGATACCATTTATTTACAGGATACTGTTATTGACTCAGTTTCACTGACGGTATATTGCTTGTTTATAACGCGTGAAACAAGAGTAACATCAAACTGTTAGTTAGCATCTGACTCAATCAACTTATATTTGTCAATACACATATCATTAATCAGTGTTCACCGCTAGCATTCATATAGCATCTGCGGCGCTTACGTTATAGATCAGATATTGAAAATGCTGTCCATTGTTCATTCAACAACGTCAGATGTGTACTCTAACATCAGGACACACGAAACATTCAAATAACTAATTTCGTGTCGATTTTTAAATTGCGCTTATACTTATAGAGTAAATTTTATAGGAATATGTTTATAGTATTGATCGATTTTGATTGATTTAGAATGATGATTGTTAACATAGAAGTACCGATCACTTACAGGTCATTCAGAAAATGTGTACAGGACCATCTTAAAATTACATTTTATGCAGTAGTACTTTATTGTGTCTTCCGTATTTTCAGTGACCTTTGACATAAAGGAATGTGGTTCTGTGTCTGTAATTTTCTACTTGCTTATTCTTGGTGTTTATTATTTTGTTATTAAAGTGTACAAGAAATCTATTGTCGAAGAGAGTTGGGTGATGTGTTTTAATTCCTTTTTAGCATCTTATGTTTTATAAATATTTTCAATTTTGGAAACTAGACAATCTATATGGGCAGTCTTTATATTGCTTGGGAGGGTTGATCTATTGTCGAAATATTTAGTAGTATCTATGGTCTTCCTGTAAAATCCTTTCGTATATAAGTTATGTATCTTGGTGACAATCACGTCTGTGAATGGGTGTTAATTACATTCTGCTTTTTTCATTGTTGAACTTTATCACTGGATGTTGCCTGTTCAGATGGTTCATGAATTATGGAACGTTGTTTGTAATGTGTGGCTACATATGCAGTAGGAGATTGGGATACTGAGTAGGGAAAACCTTCAGCCCATTGATCTCTGCTGTTGGGTTTTCAATATAAAGACTTTATTGATCACAATTTTTAAGTTTTCCGTTTCAAATGTAACAGTTTTGTATCGCTAAGAATGTCTTGTGCAACATTGCATTTATTTTTAGTTTGTGGACGGGAAGAGAACTGCCCTTATGTCCCTTAGTTTTCGTGGGTCTAAGCTTAAGAAATCAAGAAGTACCGTCAGAAGCACTATAACAATCAGGCCCGTACGCAAAATGTTTAAAAGAAGAGTTCTAATCTGCAAGATCAAAAGCCAATACGTATTGTGCAAAGCACAATCATCATGCTAATGTTACAGGGGGTCTGGGGGCACGCGACTACTTCAAGCCAAAAAATGCTAATGCTTCATCAGAAATATGTAGACTATGTAGAAAACGTTAAAATACCATAAGCAGCTGCGCCATAACTATATAAGGACCGACTGACCCCCTCTCGTACGTGCGTGACAATACCTCACGAAAAAAATAAATTGACAAATGCATCTGTTGATACCGTATCTAAATATTTGACAGCTAAACTTTGTTGTTGTTTTTTTTCACGAACATATATTCGGAGGCTTTGTGCCGCATGACCTTGCTCTGATACAAGTCAATCATAGTTTAAATAACGTGATTATGTATTTAAAGCTATGCCAGTTATCAGATAATTCCTTCATTTCGGGGATATGCTACCTGTATTTATTCGCGTTAAGACGTGACATTTTCACTGGTAACGTACTACGCGTGCGACGTGATCAGTTAATCTGTAAACGCACATGGTGTTATTACCGATTACAACGTAATATATCAAGGTATATATTTCGGGAATGTAGTCGAGAAAACTTTCGTGTTAATTGCTTAAACAGTATCTAATTATAGAATAAAAATCGATAGTTTTATGTTCACTAACATTGGTGGGAATGCTATAAAGCGTTTACACCTGACCGGAATTGACTGCAATGGCATTAATAGTAAAGCTTTTGTGTCCCTTTTACTGAATCAGTTGGCTTTTAAATTAATGGTGAAATTGTTTTGAATTATGGGTACTGGTAACACATTCATTGGTTTACTATTATTTTGAGATAGCGATAAAGCGAACAAGGCACAAACAATAAACCTGGGGTCATCTTTAGAGAAAAGGTTTCATTTTGGAAGATCAGATTAACGTTAATTAATACTTGAGTTATTTGTTTTAACAGATAATGACGCAAAATATCTAACGAATCCTAGCCTAATAAGAAAATATAAACTTTTAAATTGCATGCAAATTTCAAATAATGGAGTGTATAATCGACAGACTACATTAGTAGAAACTTTGTATAAACAGAAAAACTGACTTTTCCAACAGCGAGGGTGAAAGGTCAGGTTTCTGTAGGGCATCCAGCGGCTACAGTTGTTTCATAATCTCAAGAAATAATACTTGAAATTGGAATAAAAAACTTTTAGATCGTTTTCGAATTTTATGAGAAATAGTTTTATAAGTATACACCTTCTTAAAAGAGTAGTGCTCCGGTGGGCCAGCGGTAAGTTTACAAACTTATTACGCTAAATTCCCGGGTTCAATTCCCCGTGGTTGACACAACAAATAGCCCTACAGAAACCTAACCCTTCAAACTCGCTCTTGGCCTCGTCAAAAAATAAAAACAAACAACTCATTTCTTGTTTTTAATCCCCCATTGGAGACGGATATTTTTAGATTAATTCATTTCGTGATGGCGCTGTCGAATTTTAACCGCGAAATTTAAATATCCATGTATTGGAAAATAAAACTTTCAAAGTTAATTACGTTACCCTATAAGGTAAAAACAACACTATTATATTATAGTTATTATTATTAAGGTACACTATAACAGTATTTTGGTAGTTGTATAACAGGCTGATATTTATTTTATTGGAATAATTAATTTAACTGATTACATAGAATTAGAATAAATAGTTATGATTATCCTGAAATCCAATTTAGAGAAGTTAAGATCCAGTTGAGGCACATCATGATAGTCCTTAAAGTAATAGGATTTCAGGCGAAAGAAAACATTCAAAACTGTTACAAGCAAGTGCGAACTGTGTACTACTTGTAGTCTTGTAAGGGCATATGTACATGACATTGGGATTATAATATTGGTATTATTATTTACAATCAGTTGAATTTCTGATAGGTCGTTGTTTGATCAATGCATGAAAAATGAAGCCTTGACAACATTTCGAAGAAACTTCCTTTTTTTTCTACATCTATTGAAATATAAAGATATTTTCTTCCAAAGCTCCACTTCCTCTACGTAGTAGTATCAGGCTTTACAACAACAAAAGCTATGAATGATTTATGACCTAATTTGAATTTTTATTATAAATACAGATTTTTTTTCTTATTTTCAGAAGTGGTGTACATTCACATCCATTGTTTGACGTAAATAATGATTTCATTGATTGACACTAGCCGCATTGACTGGTTTTACCACGTGCTTTCTGATTAGGCAACATTTTTCATAACCGTAAAATATATCTGTGCACATGATTAACTTCCAAATTATTCAAACTTCTTTCAATACCATTTCGTACATATAAACCAAAAATGTTTAGATAATAAAGTTCTTGCTATGGTTTAAAGAATATATATAAACAAATTTAAGATGCTCAAGAACTTAGTTAAGGTTCTGCCATTGTGATTAATAGCCAGGTTTCGTGTGCAATTTTTTTTTTGCAGCGAGTTTTTTCGCAGAAATAATGAAGATCTTATTCATTGTATAACATGGTTTCACAGCCTTTTGCACTTCAAGACCCCCTTAGTTATTTGGCACAATAGCAAAGGCCTAAATATGCAGTTGGTGACTAGTTAATTACTAGTCTCTTATAACCGAACTTCTCCTGGCTGACCGGTTGGGATTCGCCGAGTGTATGACATGTGTGAAAAATTATTTTGTCTTTGTATTCAAGTATCATCGAGACAGCCGTGACTTATCAGTTTGCTTTTTTTACAAAGTAACACGTTGTTTAATAGCAGTTTAAGAATATATTATATTTATATTTTTCAGATTTGACATCGTGACTCGTCAGTTTGTTCTGTTAGAGTAAGACATTCATTTTTCTTCGTCATCTGTACCTGTTGAAAGTTAATTAAGTGCTCACATGATTCGTGTTTATTGGATTAACACAATAAGTATCTTCTGGTGTTAGTTTCGAAGTTTTTCTTTCGTGACTAATAATCCAGTTCTTTGAAATTTTGTTTTATTTTTCCAGTTTAAGAAGAGGTCCTGGGGCAAATACCCAAGATCCAAGTGGCTACACCTCTCTCCACCACTCGGCTCTTAATGGACACAAGTAAGAGTTCCAAAATAGATTTCTAGATCAGAAATATTTTTGGGTTAAGGTTAAATCCTGGGGTAAATGCTTTGATGTCAAAAGTTCCTAGATCTTTAACCTAAACAAACTGTTCTTATTTGAAATTTCAAGTTTGTTTTTATTCCCATAAAAATCATCAGAAACTGAGAACACTCTACATAATAATCTTGACCTTTAGGTTTATGGTCATGTGATAAACAGAGTCTTCTAATGCATTTTTAAACCGACATATGAAATTTATTGGACAAATTAAGAGGAATGTGAAAAAAAAGATAATTTGTGTAGTTAAGTTGTTTTTAAAACGAGATATATTCTATTCCCCCCCATAAATTATCGTTATAACAGAGATAAATTTCTCTTTATCAATTTCTCCTCCTCCCCCAGTAGCACAGCGGCATGTCTGCGGACTTACAACGCTAGAAACCAGGTTTCGATACTCGTGGTAGGCAAAACATAGATATCACATTGTGTAGCTTTGCGTTTCACTACAAACTAACAAACTCTTTGTCAAAACATGAGCTGTTACATGTTTTCACCAAAATCCTTTATCTAATTAACGTACGTTTCACCATTGCGGCTTCATCAGTATTTTTACAAAAACGTAGACTACAAACAATTTTTTTTCTCACTTTTGTTGTTAAAGGAGACTACAGATTATGAAAAACAACGAATCGTTTTAATAAGTTTCCTATACCAACCATTAACAACACCATATCTGATGGAAGGCGAAACGATACTTTATTCAAAATATTTATCTCAAACATCAGATTTGCATAGCATTACCTAGCCAGCCTACCGTGTACTGAATAATTTAAAAAAATAATTTAACATCTAACTTGCGTTTATATCATTCCTGTGTTTTTCGACGAAACAAAAAATTCACCTCTCTTACGTTGAGTCATTTTCTATCAGAGATGGATTTGAAAAGGAGACCAGGGTATCAGAAGACGTATGGGCGCATTTGTGTTATTAGAAAATACGTTTTGATGTTGTTGTTATGGTTCGAAAAACAAAACACGTGAAAAGCTATGTTCAAATCGACCACGCTGTCGACCGACTGCCTGTGATACAATACAATACCTTCAGAATTGAGCCTAACCTTCATTTCCTATGTATTTCTGCAACACAATGTAACAGTTTACACACACAGTGTTAAAGGAGGTAAGAAAAGCTCTCGACACTCTTACCCACGGATGGCATATTGGGGCCTTGTTGAGCCTAGAACGCATACGTGCGGATGGCTGACTTCCTGTGACAGGAAGTACAACTGCAATATGTTCAAGTACATATAATACCCTCTATCAATTAGTTTCCTTTATTTTTTACCACGGTTTTATATGTATGTTTGAAGTTTTTAACGTTTGATTTTGTTTTTATGATATTTTCATTTTAATAGTAGTTTTGTTTGTAAAGCATAAAGCTACAGAACAGGTTCATCTATACTTTGTCCAACGTAGATATCGAAACCCGAGTTTTAACGATTTAAACCATCACTCTTACCGCTGGGCCTTCGGGGGAAGGGGTAGACCTCGATTACTTTATATCCTATTATAATAATATTGGTCATTGGTCAACCAGGTCACAAAGTCACCAACATTTCATTACACTCTACAAGTTTTAAAAGCTGGGAGGTCTTTTGCTATATTTATAACTGACTACAAGTGTTCTGTCATTTATGTGTATATATGCCTGTCAGCAAAAAAGATGACTAAACAGGCGTATTTTATGTTTTCACATTAGTGCGGCAAATTGTTTCGAAGGAACATATTTCTTAGCAATTGATATAACTGGTATAATTTTACACCATCGTAACGTCCGTATAGAAGACGACGTGATCAGAGTGACTGTCCTTCATCACTTATTATAGCCTTCAATATAGTGATCCCAGCTAAACCTTATTGTTGTTCCTCCGCCGAATCTTTCTTTGATAATCCCACACAGTTCTTGTTGTTGCATTTCCACAGATCCTTCTATTAATATTCCCAGCCATTTGTTGTTGTTGTTGCTCTGCCGAATCTTTTACTAGCAATTACAGCTAGTCCTTGTTGCTATATCTGCACGTATCCTTTTGTTTCCAATGCGCCCATTTATTTAGTGTCAAACCCTCCATGACTATGATGTCTTCTTCCCCAGTTAGTAAGTAAAACAACTTAGGAAGTTCTTAAAAGACGCGTAGGAAGAAAAGAATTGTGATCACTCAGTAAAATAGTGAAGATTTAGTAATAACATTTTAACCCTTCCTTCCTGCCAATTGTAAAATAACAGTTGTGATAAATGGGTATGTGCGCGCGCGCGTAAATTAAGCGCTACCGGTAAGTAATTGCTACATTTTGAATGATGTGCATTACTTTTCTATCTGCATATATTGACAAGGCTTTTATTGAATTCATTGTATAATTAATCTTTGTTCAGTAATTTATGCTTAAAATTCTACATTTCTTATATGAAGGAATACATACTTGGCTCGAAGTAAGCTTCGTAATTTTCTCGGTTTATGTATTACTAACATAGACTTATTTTCGCCACAACCAGTTTCTAATAATATTATTCTTATCTTCTTTTGCTAGAGATATAGTATCACTCCTTCTGACTCACGAGGCTTCCACGAATGTCGTTGACAACAAAGGATCAACACCACTCCACCTAGCGGCTTGGACAGGGAATACAGAAATTGTTAAGTTACTACTGGTCCATGGTCCTTCTGTACCCAACGTTAATCATACAGTAAGTCTGAACATTAGTGATCAGTAGACGTTAGCCTGATGATATTCAGTTTTGTGGCGAGTTTCGATTTTTCCAAGTAAATAAGTACCATAGATGTCAAAAGAGTGTTTGAATATTTTAGGCGATTTAAAAATAAATTGCTTTACGGGAGCGAGGAGAATTTTCCAGTAAAGGATTTCTTCATTAGCACTTGAATGCTGCATTGGAAGGCCTTACAAAAACAGTCTTCAAAACCACGAAAGTAGAGAAAGAAATGGAAGTTGTCTGGCAATATATAAACTATGAATTTACAAAAACAATATCTGTTACCGCAGCAACATGAAAGCAGAATTGATAGTAAAATAAACAGGTGTAGATCCAAAATATCCATTGTAAATTACATTGTTTCAAAGGCAAGTTTTGTTTCATATTTGTTGTGTGTTATTTGTAGTGATTCCTGCAATTTGGCAAGAAGAATTTCTGGAACACTAGTTTGATTTTATCTAGTAGCTTTCGAGAATGACACGTGAATCAGTGCACCTGTAATAACATTTTCACCGATTCTGCACGTTTCCAGCGTTGTCATGGTAACCCACTCTCTGGATTTCTTACTCAGGTTAGGAGTCTGGTGTTGCGATATCGATCTCGAGAAACGGCAAATATTTTACTGTAGATTTACTGATTAAGAAAGAAGTGTCATTGAAACACATTATAGGCACAGAATATTCTTTGGACTACATTCATCTGAAATCTAAAGATGTTCGACAATTAGCCTCAACACAGGTAGAACTGGTCTACAGATTCAATGCTAGTACTGTCCTACTTTGCCAAGAGACCCATATTGACCAACTAACTGGGATTATTAAAGAATTTCTAAGTAGGAGCTAATATTTTAATGGTTTGTTTGAATCTTGTTCGACTATTTGTAGTTATCCAGAAGAACATGTGTTGGCCACACAGAACATCATTTGAACTAAATTTTTAATAGTACGATATTTATCGTCGATTAAACTGATTATCTTTGGTTTGCTTGAGGCTTGGTAGATTTATTGCAATAATTATTCGTAATTTTAGAAGTTGTTTACATCTCTATCTTTGAAAGTCTAAACTAGTTTGCTATGATAATGTGTCATAAAGAAGACGTCAGCTTATTATGCCTTTTAACACACAAAATAAAAAAAAATCCACCACCCTCTGTGGCTAGTAAATGGTATAACGGTTCCTAAATCTATGTGCGTTTGGACAGTGTAATACAAAATTCTACTCCTAAGCCTTTTTTCTTCTTCTTGTATTTCAGTATCTGAACTTGCATACAGTATTTAGGGGGTGGGAGGTATTGACTTTAGCACAATTTGAACGTTAGAATTCTCGAACATACTCTTTTCCAACAAGTCTTTCCTATTTTTTATTTTGCGTTGCTTAACACGTTCTGTAATTGACACTTTTCCGTTTGTGTCATGTTGCTGGCACTACCACGTTTTCTTTTAATCAGGCAGTCTTTCTCTTCACCCTTGTCTCGTAGTGCAAACCTTTACTCACTCTATTTAATTGGCAATTTCATGTTCTGTAAAACGGCACTCGACGTACAATAATCTAAGGAATTCGGAACTCTTTATCACGCTACTTCTCATTAGTAAAACGAAAGGTTGTACTTTGTGTTGTGCTACGGTGGTCAGACATTCGACATTATATGTATCTTTTTTAAACCAAATACCTCCTGTTATCTGTAATTTTACGTAACTAAATTATTTTTATTTCTTTTATTGTTGTATCACAATCAGTTTTAAGCTTTTTTTACAGCTGTTTTGCACCCTAGTAATTTTATTTGATGTTCATTAAAAAGTTTTTATTTACCCTTTTGTAAAGATAATTGATCAGTAGTGCCTTTATTTCTTACTTATAACCTTTATTAACTGTTAGTTATACCCTTTAGTTTACATAGAAACTGTTACTATAGAAATTTCCTTCCATGTTATTGTACTTCTTGATTAAGTAATTTGGGTGTTTTACAGAATCACGATCACGAAACGGCGTTACATTCGGCTGCTCAGTATGGTCACACTGACGTGGTGTCTTTATTACTTCAGGTAAGAGCTTAGCTTTTAGTCATCATAAATTTAATTTTCTGTCTTTCGTATTTTAAGACTAATATGTAAATTGGGCAAATGGCAAAATATAAGCTTTCTCTACTTTTTTTATTGAGTAAGAATGTCTTTATTGTAATGCATCGATTCGGTTTTTTAATGAAAGCACTTCCCGAAAATTGGGGAGCGAAAACTATAACAAATATTCCAACATTCCAATCATCTTCATTTTATCATGAACCACTATCGTGGTCGTAATAGTGATCGCAAGGAATTGCACAAAACCCTCACAGAACGTTCGGGCAAAAAGTACCTTAAACAGTAAAGATTCAGTTCAAACAACAATTTAAAACCTTTACTGTTGACTGCTAAGGTTATACACACATAAAAATGCACCAAAAAGCACGTATGTTAGACTTACAAGGAAAATAAAATCTACTCAAAACGGCCCGTTTGTAAAAATTATTCTTATTATTATTCTCTTGCCAGCCTACAGGAAAAACGGTTTGGTATATTGTACTCAAACCTTTTGTAGAATACCAAATAAGGTACTACGAAAGTCATTGGGGTATTGAAAAGTAGATTTGGTTCTTCTATATTTTACATAAGCTAAAAACATCATAATTCTAGTGTAAACGATGTTATCATTACCCCTTGAAGTTAGCTTTCGTAAAAAATATCTGGTGTTCCTTTGAAAAGCTTAAGTGCATGGTGAAACAAAAATTACCAGCCAATAATAGATGAACATTAAATGACTGTAACATTTAGATACTCAATGCTTTGTACATTATACAATCGACGTCTTTAGGGAGCCAACCTTTATATTATTTATGAAGTGAAGGAATAAATACACATAATATTAAATTTTATTAACCACTTTCGCGAATAATTACTTTAAAGACACGAAGGTTTATTTAAAGCGATGTTTTAGACACGTATGTTTTATTTGAAAAGGCATCTTTTCTACTGGTAATATTTTATACGCACTTAGTGGGGGTTGTGTTTTAGTCTAGGCATATATTTGTCCATTGATATGGATTATATATAGAGAATATAGTTACACGGAAACTATAAATGCTCACTATATTCTCAAAAAATCTCATTGACAATCTCCAGCTGCAGCTTAACATTTTACATCTCCAACTAATACGATCAAATAGTCAATACTTACAGTACATTATCATGAATCGTATCGGCAACTACTAACTATGTTTATTACCTTTATAATGTACAAGTTTAGTTACCATATCAAGTAATCCTTTATTTTGGTTTGGATCCATGTTGTTACCTAGAATTACATTTGATGTTGTTAAAATAGAGATTTGTAGTTTGAGTAAATAATGTCTATAGCATCTTCAGCCTTGTTTGCTTACTTTTTTTACAATCCCTAGAATTATTCAAAGAAACGCACCAATATTGATAATTAATACATATTTTAAACTAATACCTGACAAGGAAAGGAAAGCTGAAGTCTCGTTACACCTTTCTCTGTTACAGAAATTATTTTTACTTGTTTTTGATAAATCTTGTTATATACTAAAATTGCTTTTAGTTTCTTAAAAAAGATGGCAAAATTTTATCTTTTGTATAAGTACTATATTTGTGTCGGATACAAGGAGGCTTATTCAAGAATAAGTTTGTTGTCCGTAACCTTACTGGTGAATTCTGTGCTGCTTAACTTTGTATCCTCTGACCTTACTGGTAAATTCTGTGCTGCTTAGCTTTGTGATCCGTGACCTTACTGGTGAATTCTGTACTGCTTAACTTTGTATCCTGTGACCTTACTTGTTGAATTCTGTACTGCTTAACTTTGTATCCCGTGACCTTACTGGTGAATTCTGTACTGCTTAACTTTGTATCCTGTGACCTTACTTGTTGAATTCTGTACTGCTTAACTTTGTATCCCGTGACCTTACTGGTGAATTCTGTACTGCTTAACTTTGGGATCCGTGACCTTACTGGTGAATTCTGTACTGCTTAACTTTGGGATCCGTGACCTTACTGGTGAATTCTGTACTGCTTAACTTTGTGATTCGTGATATCTTACTGGTGAATTCTGTACTGTTTAACATTGTGATCCGTGACCTTACTGGTGAATTCTATACTGTTTAACATTGTGAACCGTGACCTTGCTGGTGAATTCTGTACTGTTTAACATTGTGAACCGTGACCTTGCTGGTGAATTATGTACTGCTTAACTTTGTGATGCGTGACCTTACTGGTGAATTCTGTACTGCTTAACTTTGTGACCCGTGACCTTACCGGTGAATTCTGTACTGCTTAACTTTGTGACCCGTGCGTGACCTTACTGGTGAATTTTGTACTGCTTAACTTTGTGACCCGTTCTTTACTGGTGAATTCTGTACTACTTAACTTTGTGACCCGTGACTTTACTAGTGAATTCTGTACTACTTCAATTTGTATCCTGTGATCTTACCGATGAATTATTCCAGTTTAACTGGCAATTTGGAGACCACACTAGAAAGCGGTAATTTCCTATGATAAATTTATTGTTGTTGTTTTTATCGTAGTATGTTTTATTACAGAATAATTGTGATCCTACTGTTCGTAACTTCAAAGAAGAAACAGCACTTGACTTAGCAGCACAGTATGGCCGATTAGAAACAGTGGAACAGCTCGTTAAACACAGCCCTCAACTATTAAGAAATAATATCAAGAAACATTCCCCTCTCCACCTGGCGTCAAGAAACGGGCACAAACAAGTAGTTAAAACTCTCTTAGATGCTGGATTCGACTTTAACTTCCTGGTAATATAAATATTGCTGTTATTAAAAATATCACGCCATCAGAATTAGTTATAAACTGGTGTATCACACATTTTGTGAACTATTTTAATAATAGTTTAATGTTTATGCATAGGATTTCTTATATTTTAAAGATTTCTGAAGTACATTTTTTTATCTTTTTTTAAGATAATTACCCTCATAAATGTATATATATTTCGTATATATTTTAAATGTTAATTGAAAATCTATTGAGATAATAGTTTTCAAGTTCCTTATATTCGATTGGAAACTGCTCAGATACGTTTTATTTATGTTTTCTAATCTTACAGACAGAGGGCGGTAGTGCTCTACATGAAGCGGCTTTCTACGGTAAAAATGAAGTGGTGAAGCATCTCTTAGATTATGGGGTTGATGTAAATTTACAAGATCAGCATGGAAGGACAGTTTTTGATTTGTTGGAAGATCTAAATACCAACATCGCCAAAAAAACCCTCAAGATAGTTAAAGGTGCATAATTACTTACATCAAGCATAATTTGTATGATACATATGTAAAATTGTTTCGCAATACCTCTGTGGATATCGTGAAGTGATAATACGACCGTCGACTTAAACAACGATTCGTGTGTCATTGTTTATTTTTTTTGTCTAGTTTAATTTCAAAAAATGTTTCGAAAGTAATATTGTAAATACATTTTTGTTGCAATATGCATCTGATAGGTTTTTTTTTTTTTATGGCTGCAGCGGGAAATTACCCAAATGTTGTATATGGTGTGGGTTAGTAAGTTTAAGAGTAATAAAAACAATAAATCCATATATATATATATATATATGGCCAGGTGGTTAAGGCGCTCGACTCGCAATCTGAGGATCGCGGGTTCGAATCCCCGTCACGTCAAACATGCTCGCCCTTTTAGCCGTGGGGGCGTTATAATGTGACGGTCAATCCCACTATTCTTTGGTAAAAAGTAGCCCAAGAGTTGGCGGTGGGTGGTGATGACTTACACTGCTAAGTTAGGGACGATTAGCGCAGATAGCCCTCGTGTAGCTTTGCGCGAAATTCAAAACAAACAAATAAGATATATATATATATGAAAGTACTTGTTGGTTCAGCGGTAAATATGAGAGCCTATATCGCTAAAAATCGGGTTTCGATACTTGCAATAGACCATTGGGTATATTTGTACTTAACACCAAACAACCAAAAACTGATTAGTACGTTGTTGACATATGTTTTATTAATTGGCTGAAAGATAGACTGTGTTGTTTATGGTAAAATAATAGTTTATTGTTGAGAAACATGTTTTTGTTATGTGGGAGAATGAGGACGTATGAGAAATGTTTTACTATTACTCTAACGGTCAGATATATGTAATTAGTGTACCAAAAGTTTGTCAATGTAATATTTCATAGTTTTATTTAATTTATATTATATTATTTGGCAATATTTTTAGATCATGTCACTCTTGTCGCTACTGATGATGAAGTCACAGAATCTCCTTGTTCTTTGTCACCACCACCTGGTTTTCTGTCCGGAACTTATGCTAATGTATTATTGCCTGAAAGACTATCTTCCCATTGTGTTACTTCACTACAGCAAAGTAGTTCTCCCGTATCAGATATTAACTTTTACGAAGTTCCGCCACCACCTAGGTCTTTCAGTTCAAGTAAAAGATCATCCGGGTACGTTTCATGATGCTAAATTATATGATGTAATTTTTTTTTTTTTAGTTTACTCTTGCTAGCTTTGAATCATGCTGATGCAGTATCTAACTTGATTTTATATCTGTAAAGTCTAGCTTAAATAAGGTTACCATAACAATTTCTATAATTGAAAAATATTTCGAACACTGATATTATAACCATATTTTAATTATCAACTGTTTATTTATATGCATGCATATATTTGAAAGATAGAAAAACTGACGTATTTTTCTATTTCTGATGTACTTAACCTGTACTGTGTGACCGAACATGGAATAAGCCTTGAACCATATTCTTTAGCATTGCATTCTGTCTTTCTTTGTACGGCATTAAAACTCTCCGTGGCTTTATTGTCAAGACTAATTCCAGAAGTCTTCTATCTTACACAAAGTACAGTTTACCATTCAAACTTGAGTTTAAGGTAGCACCCGTGCTAGATCACCGAGTGTACCCGACGATGTTCAGAAGTATACGAGAGTATTAAACATAATACAATTATTATATCAAATTCGATTGTATTTGTATATCTTCAACATTTTGTGCTAATTCTGTCTCTTATCTTCTTATCATGCTCGATGCTGTTTGTAAGCTGTACTTGACAAACGAAAATCTGTCTACAGTAGCTTTCACAAAAACCAAAAATCACTGTATCTCAAAGGAAGTATGGGCATTGTTTTCTAACATAATATACCTTTTTTTAGTACTGGGATGTTCAACTTTTTTTTTCATGAAGAGGTGTTATTACTTTTGTCACAGGATAATTCAGTTGAACTACGTAACATATGAAATACCGGGATTCGTTTACAGATTATGCAGCTCACCCTGTTAGCAAATGAAATGAATGTCACTTTTAGAGAAAATTTTGTTTTTTCAGGTATTATAGGCAGACTATTCGAACATGATTACTAGAATAGTTTCATATAATCCCGTTCACTGGATGACTGTTATCATGAACCGCCATTTTGAATACTCGACGATCTTTCTTTTTTTTTATATTAAGATCATTTCATATTACCGTTCTCTCAGGCCAACAGACTGTTATCAAACACCACCATTTTGTAAATCCCATGACTCCAGTTTGGACCAAACGCCCTCTAGTAGTAGTAGGAGTCCGTCAATTTATGAAACGCCGCCTCCTCCAAGAGAGATAGACATTCTTCCTGTCAGTTCGGCCTATCAACTTACTCCTAAGCCTTGGATGCAGTCGAGCCGGATATCTCGATCATCTGATTCCGAAGCTGTCTTGTATGAAGTACCACCACCCGGGAAGCGATTTTCTGATCCAACAGAACAGAACTCCACTCTTCAAGTCGCCAGACAAGGTAAAGTTTAAATTTCCGATTCGTAACGATTAAAATAAGAGTTCCACATTGTTACACATTTTTAGCACGGTTTCACTACACAGTATTGATAAATCTTATTAATTACTCATTATACACCAGATCTTCTTGCAAATCTTTTTACTCACCCTCGTATATGAGGAAGGTGACCCTTGACCATTCACTTTTCATTTACAGTCGATGTAGAAAGAGTTCCACCGGTCCTTGTTAAACATTAAGATTATGCTAGTTTGTAGACTAAAACCACAATCATAATATCTGTGACATTCTTAAGTGCGCCAATTATCTTAAAGGCAAGAGTGGTACCTGCAATAGTAGGAAGGAATAGCAAATAGCTTTATGCGGAATTGAATCTGAATTTTAAGCCAGGTGGAAATTCTGTGAGGATTGATTGCCATATAAAGAACAAGACAGCAGCAGCATCTCTCCTAATCACTCTGGATCAGGTTGAGAGAATTTGCTAGCATACAGAGAAAATTATAGCACCATACTTCTTAGTAACTCTATATTGGGTTGAGAGAATTTACTGCTATATAGAGGAAATGACAGCAGCATTATCTCTCCTAGTCACTCTGGATCAGGTTCAGAGAATTTACTGCATATAGAGAAAACAGCAGCATCATCTCTCCTAGTCACTCTGGATCAGGTTCAGATAATTTACTGCCATATAGAGAAAACAACAGCATCATCTCTCCTAGTCACTCTGGATCAGGTTCAGAGAATTTACTGCCATATAGAGAAATGACAGCAGCATCATCTCTCCTAGTCAATCTGGATCAGGTTCAGAGAATTTACTGCCATATAGAGAAAACAGCAGCATCATCTCTTCTAGTCACTCTGGATCAGGTTCAGAGAATTTACTGCCATATAGAGAAAACAACAGCATCATCTCTCCTAGTCACTCTGGATCAGGTTCAGAGAATTTACTGCCATATAGAGAAAACAACAACATCATCTCTCCTAGACACTCTCAAATAGAGGACACAACCTCCAGGTAGTCCTAAATCTCTACACAGTTGATCTCGGCAGAAAAGATACATAGTACTAAAGTATACAGTGTTTTGCGATATATACTGCGAAAGAGCTTAGCAAATCCAAAATCGAATAATCTACAATAACGTATAACTAGAACACGTGTAAGTTAACTGCATTCCAGATCTAGTCTTACTATATGTTAAAACTACGCGCGCGCCCGAATGCACGCATGTGTGAATTTTTTTGACTAGAAAAAAAAAACATCTAGTATATTTCACGTACCACACAATTTAGATCACGACCATATCGGTTTCAGTAAGGAAATCATGATCATGTTCGTCCTGAGGTCAAAATAGCTATCGTAATAAAGACATCATCGTAATGTGTTTTTACATCTTTTACTTCAGGAGCAAAATTAACAACAGATTCACATAACAGCAACTTTATGTTAACAGAATCCATCAAGCAATATAACTTTGATAGTCTTAACTTTACCTAAGCAACGTTATAAGCGATCAGTACCTACCATTGTTTCACGACGGAAATAGTTAATAAATAAAAACCCGTCAAAGTGGTATAAATAATGAAGCATACAGACAATCTATAGCATAAGATAGCACGTTACATATACCTCCTTCTTTGTTTAACTTAATTCTCTTGTCATATTTCACCGGAAGTGCATTTACGGAAAATTTTAATGACGTTTTTGAAGCATGACTTTGATACAGCATTTTGTACCATAGGTTTTAAAAAGTCGAAAATTGAAAATGATAAAAACCCTATAACCCGAACACTTTCGAAAGGTGGACCTTTCTTCTTCAGGGGCAAATTCGGTTTGTAGGGTTTTTATAATCTTGTTTCAAGACTTATTGAACCATGAAGCTCTTAAATTTATTAGATAAACGTGACTTTGATACAACATTTTTAAATCGTGTTATATAAGGTAATAAAATTGGGATGGCGAACTTAATAATTTACCGAAAAATTAAAATCTGTATTTAAAATTAATTTTTTTAATAATATATGATTAATAATTTTAATTAAATTGTGATTTTACTGTATTGGTATATTTATAGATAGCGTCACCTGTAAGTTATTTTTGGGGTGGTCAATTTCAAACTATATGCATAAGTTATTGTGGGCAATTTTTAGTAATTTACTTCTTTTTTTTGTTTACAGAAATGTACACATAATGACAAGTGATTTTAGCTCAGCTTCACAACAGGCTCTTTTGAAAATAATGTCGTGTACTAATCTAGTTTGTAGAACTTACATTTTAGCTAGAAATTGTGCATCGAGTTTTTATTGCCAGCCAATCCAATGGGGAAAACCCGTAACCCACAACCTGGTATGGAGATTTACAAACACTGTATGATTTTCTCCACTAGATGACAGCACTTGTGCATCGAGTTTTTATTGCCAGCGAATCCAATGGGGAAAACCCGTAACCCACAACCTGGTATGGAGATATACAAACACTGTATGATTTTCTCCACTAGATGACAGCACTTGTGCATCGAGTTTTTATTGCCAGCCAATCCAATGGGGAAAACCCGTAACCCACAACCTGGTATGGAGATATACAAACACTGTATGATTTTCTCCACTAGATGACAGCACTGGTAGCTAGGTTCCAATTGTAAACTTATATAACAAAACTAATTAAACATCGCCGTAACCTTTGGTTAGAATGTTCCGCAGTGACGATGCCTGCGAACTAAATTACCATGTTTGTTGTTTACAAACTAAAGAAACAAACTGTGAATTTTTTTGTGTGTGTTAATAAATTTAATGTCTTATGTCACAAAAATCTCCATAATTCTTTCAGATTCAAGTGGAGCGTCTTCTTCCAGAAGTAGCAGCACGAGCAGTTACATTCCGATGACATCACAACAGCCATCAACTGGAAAACCCCAGGTATGTAAAACTCTGAAGATTTCCACGAGAAGTTTGAAATATACCGTAAATTATTTTATGATTTTTACATCGAATACTCGGTTATTGAAATACAAGGTTTTACGTAGAAACAGTGATAGCTATCGATATAACTTTTTCTTAATATTTTGTCATATTTTAACACGTATTCTAACAATTTCGACAATATATTTAAGATATAAAACTTACTTTTAACTGTGCAAAGAAACGTCATAAAAACAATAGATTCATTTGGAAACTAACAAAGTAATTTGGAAAATAAGAATTATCCAATAAAAGCCATGTATCTCCAAACTGATGATCCATCATAGAAAAGAAAAATATTTAAATATCAAAGAAAACGTACAAAATGAGACATTGTCATTTAAAAGAAAATCTTCTAACCTAACTTCGTCTTGTTTTTCTCTGGAATCAGAAAATCCTAGTTTGCCTAAACGTGACTAAGGTTTTTTTTTATTTAAGCGCAAAGCGACACTATAGATTATCTGCGCTCTGTCCAACATGGCGAATCGAAACCAAGATAAGTCTGTAAACTTACCTACCGCTGACCGTCCTGGGGTCGTGACTAAGGTAAACTAATTTAACAATATTTTTACCAGTTCTCTCCACATATTCGTGTATTTAAATCACTTTTCTCATCAATTTGGCCTAGTGATGAACTGTGAATCTGAAGGTTTATTTTTCGCATCCCGTTACCATAGAAATACGCTTCACACACTGTGACAGTATACGACCAGACATGAGTGGTCAAAGGATGACTATGCACAGATTGCTATTGTTTAACATTTGTACGAAAATTCTAACACAATCTAACCAACTGTGTTAGAAAGTTTCTAAGCCCATACTCAGTACGTAAAGCATCTGTCACACAATATATTACAAAATCTAAACGTTCTTTTTTTATAAATTTATTGCAACTTTAATAAAACAATGAAACTTCTGCACGTTTACATACATTCTGACTTATTTTTGTTGTTGACAATGCATGAAATGGTACAATTAAACACTTCTAGGTAGATCAAATTATTGAATAATTAAATGATTCTAAAGACCCAGCATACAAACTTTACTGAAGTGTCTATATTACTGTCACAGTGAGGATTACCACAAAAACTGTAGTGTAATTTACATCAAAGAAACGCCCCTAGAGGCAACTTTAAGCAAAACTGGCTAATGCTTTCATTTGTGTTTTTGTTCGTGATCGCAGTGAAAAGTTCGTGGTTATGGTAAGAGTAGACTGATAATTGTTATTATATTTATAATTTGTTTATGACTTTTGGCATGTATTCCTATAACTCAGCTTGTTATAAAGACTATTGAGTAATTTCGTTTTTATAGCCACTGGCTAGAATGCGCGCTGCCCAGTGATTAACGGGCCCAACTTTGGAACTGGGGTTTCGTGATTCGCGCACCGTTACCGTCAAAAAACAAAACATTGCGCTCAGCCCTTTGTGGCCTTTGGAGCGTTATAAGAGTGTCAGTCAGATCCCATTGTTCAGTTTGCCAAGAGTTGATGTTGGGTGGTATATATTGACTAGCTGTTTCCATTTTGTCTGTCACTTCAAAACTAGAGACGGTTAGTGTAGATAACCCTCACGTATCTTTGCCCGAAATCTGACAAACGAACAAACCTTAGGCTAAGCCTCCAAGGTGATTAATAGTGATTAGAATCAGTAATTTTGTTTTTTATAACCATCAGCCCAGGCTTCAAGAAGACCAATAGTGCATACATATTCAGCAGTTTTATTTTTTTAACCACCATCTAAACCTCCAAGACGATCAGTAGTGTATGTATGTTCAGTGGACTTGGTTTTTAAAACTACTAGCTAAGCTTCCAAGATTATCAGTAGTGTATATTTAAATATATTATGTAGGTTTTATTATAACAGCTAATTAAGCCTCCAAGACGATCAGCAATGTCTATAATTATTATTTTTTTAGCCTTCAGCTAAGTCTCTAAAATAATCAATAGTGATTATATTCAGTGTTTTGTATATAACCTGCAGCTAAGTCTCTGAGACTATCAACAATGGCTATAGTCAATATTTTTATAGCCTCCAGCTAAGCCTCCAAGACGATCAATAGTGACCATATCACCAGGCAGCAGACCCCAGAGTGCTCGTCCAGGTTCGTCTTATGAATACCTTTCATTTGCAACAAATATCAGCGATCAAGTGTCCCCTGTGTGGACAGGAGAAACTTCACGAGTGGACTCTGGTAAGGACCAAGTAGTGAAACGCGCAGGTGGTAGTGAAGAATATGTCGATTTGAAGTTAAGAAACAAAGTAATAGGAAATTATGAAAAACGAGATGTAGTTTCCACAAACTCCGATGATAAACAAGTATTAGTTGAGGAAGAATCTGGAAGGACAGAAAAATATCTAAATGGAAATGCCGTGCCTCTTGTAAAGGATTATGAAACTGACTTTACTGAAATGTCATTTAGCGCTCTTTATGACGATATCGCTAGTGGAAAAGTAACCACATTTGGAACCATTAGAGCCAGTTCTAAGAGTACAACAGCCCTACCCCAAAATATGATGCCCACCTCTTCTGATGATGCTCTGAATCGAGAAGATAATATGTCAGCTAAGCCTAGTTTCCTAGACTTTCGGAATAAGAGAGCCACAGTGCATATCCCACTCAGTCCAACCAATTACCATCAACCTCCTACTCCCGATTTTCCACCTCCTTCACCAGCCACTGCTGAGTATGGAATCCTCGAGAAAATACGCCCCCTAAGTCAGGTAATTTATGTTTTCTACATTTCTGTAAGCATTCACTGCTTTGGTTTCATTTCCTGTCTGTATTAAAGTAATAAAACTTTACTATAAAGTGAAGTAGAGAATCTGAAGTTAATTTTTTTTTCTTAAAGACTATCTGTTTGTAACATTTTACAGACTGTGCATTGTTTTAGAAATATTTAGACCTAAGGAAGTTTGAAATGTGTGTTCAAACCACATAATACACCATACTGACATTTTCTACTCTCTGATGCTTTATGTCGATTGACTCTGCGACTGGACCTATTTCTATAAATAATGTTTTCCCAGCTTTTGGTGGATTACTTCATAATAAAAACTATTTTTGTTGAGTTTTCTTTGATTCTTATAAATTTAACTTCCTTGCTTATGGTGCCATATATGACAATTACTACAGTTTTCTTGATTATATAATAATAAAATATTAACGTATAGTTTTAAGCTGTAACTTTATTTATGATTTCAAATTCTCATTTTGCTTGTCATTGGCACCTTGACTCGTGGATTTATTGGTGTACGAAGCACTTTATTAAATAAAACCTTCATTTGTAACTAAAACAAATTAATCCTTTCCATCTAGATATCTGACCTAAATTTACCTGAGGCAACTGTACTTCTATGGAACAAGCAGAAGTTTTGGTAGAAGTATCGTATGCTATGATATTTTGATATCCTGAAACAACTATCGTCAAATCTAATGAGATTATAATCACTTTACCCATGCTCATCACCTGCTTCTTGTAGAGATACGAGTGATCGTACAAATGTACAGACATCTACGATTTTACGGATATAAAAGTGATTTTGTACATGTACCATATAATGAGTTGTGTTTTAGAGTTTATTGGTATGTATTTGTATGTACTGTTTTCAAACGTACAGTCAAATTACGTAATAGCCCTAATGTCTAAACTCTTCTTCTCTCAGCCCGCCACTTTTACATGAATCAATTACAGAATATCTTCAATTGTGGGAAGCAACATACGAGTTATCATCAACTAGGGTCTTTAGAATATGCCGAGAAGAAACTTACGATGGTGTAGAGTTATCGAAAAACAGTGTATTTAGAATATGTCGAGAAGAAACGTCCAATGGTCTAGAGTTATCGACACACTGTGTCTTTAGAATATGTCGAGAAGAAACTTACGATGGTGTAGAGTTATCGAAAAACAGTGTATTTAGAATATGTCGAGAAGAAACGTACAATGGTCTAGAGTTATCGACACACTGTGTCTTTAGAATATGTCGAGAAGAAACATACGATGATGTAGAGTTATCGAAAAACAGTGTCTTTAGAATATGTCGAGAAGAAACGTACGAATGGTCTAGAGTTATCGACACACAGTGTCTTTAGAATATGTCGAGAAGAAACGTACGATGGTCTAGAGTTATCGACACACAGTGTCTTTAGAATATGTCGAGAAGAAACGTACGATGGTCTAGAGCTATCGACAAACAGTGTCTTTAGAATATGTCGAGAAGAAATGTACGATGGTGTAGAGTTATCGCCCAACTTTGTTTTTATAGAATTATGAGAAGGAACGTACGATGGTCTAGAGTTATCGCCCAACTTTGTTTTTATAAAATTATGAGAAGGAACGTACGATGGTCTAGAGTTATCGCCCAACTTTGTTTTTATAAAATTATGAGAAGGAACGTACGATGGTGTAGAGTTATCGCCCAACTTTGTTTTTATAGAATTATGAGAAGGAACGTACGATGGTGTAGAGTTATCGCCCAACAGTGTGCTTACTTATAAAATGTTAAATGTTGGAAGAAACGTGCAATTGTATAGTAAATTCTAGTGTTCTACAAAATGACATTCACACGAGTAGAATTCCTTATCAGAATGGCACACTCTGTTCTTTCAACCTTAACATGATATATGCAATATCTAGTTGTAGAACTAACATATACTAATAACTTCAACTGACGTTTGGGCGGGAAAATAAGCCTTTCCTATATGCTAGATTTCAAGGGAATTCTTAAATAACATGCCCCCCTTTTGTCGTTGTTGAAAATACTTTTATAACACAAGTCACGTTTCAGTTCATGCCTGCATTCAATCTTTGATGTTAACATTTACGTTACGTATTGTTATGTAAAATTACTAATATGATAAACTTACGTAAAAATTACTTATCATTGAACAACAAACGTAATGGATACTGGAGAATAGAAGACATTCGCAAAAAAATAGAAGTAATAAACAACTCTGTAGAATTTGTTTTCGATGTTTCACCCTTAAAACTAGTGAGCTCTTTACAGCTGCTCTAACGTTCTTGGATGACATTTTTAAATAGTTGTTCAGGTAAGTTTAAATTGTTTCTGTGAAAAAACTTTAATGTAAATGAAAACAAACCTATTTTTGTGTAGTACGTTATATATATTTGTCGATAATTATTACCTATCGTTATACTACGTGTATAATATGTATGTCTTTCAGTCACGGTTCAAACCCGAATAGCAAGTTACATATACAGCTAAACTTTAAACATTGAAGTTCGTAGACATACACATGCCAAGAATATAGCTAAGCCTTATAGTGACATTCTCAAGATTGAAAATAATGCAAAACTACCTCTATATGATGCTAAGTTTTTAGAGAAAGTTCAACATAGATTTTTATTTCATAACTGTTGTTTATTTTGGGCTGCCTTTTAAATTATATGATGAGTTGTTTATGAAATTTTTAAACCAGTCATTCTAGAAACTCTTACATGTTCTGTATTACAGTTCCCATATGACTATAGTAAATTTGTTATTATGTTCAAAAATTTATAAGTTATTGCAAATTTACGCTGTTTATTTCTATTATGTTTTTAGTTTAGTACGAACTTTTATTTGATTTGTTTTGTTTTTTGTATTTTGCGTTTGTTGCAGCATAAATTTAGAAACATATGATTTTGTAACATATTTTAATCAAACACATAATTTTACTTCAATGCCAGTACAGGGAGATGTAAATGATGAATCATTCGAAATCGACGAGGTGAGTGTTTTCTTTGTTTTTATTTATTTTTATTATCACTGTTTTGTTTTTTATTAAATGCTATAACCTTTGCATGTCGCCCGGTTGGTTAGCGGTAAGCTTCAAGAATCATTATACTGAAATTCTGGGTTCAATTCCCCGCGTTGGACAAAGCGCAAATAGCCCATTGTAAAGCTTTGCGTTAAACAACCAGAAAGCATTATGTATAAAATGAAGAATAAGATATGCTATTATTTTCCTTAATTAAATTTTTATTTTGTTCATATATTATTTGTTTTTGTTCTAAACTATTAGCAAAATCATAGAGGTCGCTTAATAGAAATTTTTGAATCAAGTAGTCTTCTTGAAGAGTTCCTGTCAAAGCATAACACTACTATTTAAATTAGTATTAACAAAGTCCAGTGCTTGTAAATATCGGGTGATATGTTTTATTAGGAAAAAGAATATAGTAACAAGTTTAAGGTCAATAATCAAGCATAAAAATATTATAAAATATTATACAGGTCCCAACTCCCCCCCCCCCTCAAACGTCTTCATAACATACAATTTTAACACATGTAGTTAGTTAGTCAATTATTACCATCTGATAGAAAAAGTCCTTGTCCAAGTAGCTAAATGATTTCTGCTAAAACAAACTAAATGAAGTTTGGTCACTCTGATACCTTGGTTCAAATCCGTTGTGTGTTGACCATATATTTTCATAAAGTTTGAAGACGGCTTGAATGGTGACCAAACCTTATCAAAACATTGTACATTTGCTACTTATAATAAAGTCTTCTTCATTACCCATTCAAGCCGTCTTCAGATTTTATTGTCTCAGAGTGGGTTCTTCATCATCAGATATATTTCATAAGTTTTTAATGCATGTCAATGACAGGATAATTACGGTATAGAACATGTAAGTTTATATGCACGAGAATAGACAGCCGTATATAATATATTAAATTAATATTTTTTGGGGGGATGAGTCTCTACCAATAGTATAGAAAATCAACATCCTTTGTATAAAACCAATTAAAATGCTGAGAAAATAGACATGGACACTGTATAACGCAACATTTTGTGTTGTTGTTGTTCCTGATATTGAATGCATAGTGTATCGATCCCGTGGAGTAGCATATAATACCACCAGATGACTCGCCATAACTTAGTTCCTTTGTAACGTTTTGTAGATCAATGACATGAGTTTACAATGAAAAACTGTGTACCATATCATTATTCACTGTCTCTTTGTTAAGCTGATGGACACATGCCACTTATTTTCACTCCATAACGCAAATGATAAAACTCGTTACAGGATAACCTTCTGTGCTTTCAGTTCTATTTTATAAAGTTATCTAACATGTAATATATATATATATATATATATAAGTAACTTCCTTCTTAAAATAATTTTTGCTTTCTATTTATTTATCTGTTGTTAATTAGATATGAAATTGTGCGTGTATGAAAGATTTGACTTCAAATATTAAATCGCATAAGGCTGAGTACATCTAATTAGAAACAACGTAATCATTAAGCCCACGTCCCATAGCATTAATTGTATTACATATATGTATATAATAATCCTAGAAATTAATTATACTGGTGTAATATATATATACACATTTTTTTTTCTGTATGAAATTGTATTGTTCTAGACACATCATTTACATACCACGGTACAACTTATTAGCAGTAAATACCATATAAATTAAATACTGGAAATCAGCATATAGTTCAAGCTAGAAATTGGACTTGGTGGTATTTTCTGCTAATAGAAAAAGATAAGTTGTATTATGGCATGAAAATGATGTGTCTAGAATAATGCATTTTCATACCGAATTTTTTTTTTATCTGGAACTCAAAAAGCAACGCCCTCAAACAGAAAGTTACACCAGTATAATTAATTTCCAGGATTATTTCCACGGTGCCCCCAGTGGCTCAGCGGTATGTCTGCGGACTTAC